CTCTGCCCCGATTGAATTTATCCCCACTAGACTTTTAGATTGGGGACGAGGACTTTTGACCGGTTGCAATGAACTACAGACGCGCTTCAGAGGTCCGTGTTCTATCGACTGTGACAGCCGTATCTGTTCCATGGAAACCTACCCAAAATGTAATATTCCTTTTGAAACCAGAATACTGATTGAAGTTCTCAAACCTGGATCTGGATGCAACATCCAGGCCCTTCCCACAATTCAAACAATGTTAGCTAATGCCAACGCCCGCCCACCGGATTATGATGATGCCAATGATGCTCGGTCATCGTAGTCTATGACGAAATTGAATTCTACAATTGCCGCCGGATATATAGATATCGTGAAACTCACTCATACCTTTTCAGATCTCATAAAGCAACAGATGCGTGGAAACCTGGCGCTAGTTGGTGGTAATCTCCTGTCAGAACTTTTGCGAGGAAGTAATTTTAAAGATCAGACACGAACCGGTGCCTGCATCCGGTAGAAATATTAGCAGATTATTTCATGTTAGGCTTAATGGTGGCTGATTACTTCCTGGAACGGAAATATAATTTTGAGTGGCTTTTCTGTCTGTCTCAATTCCCGAGGTTGCTGGTGGGTGGGAGGTAATTTTGACAGTTGATTGACAGGGAGGTCACCCTGAAGGTTGCCCAGCACGCGCCTCCGGGAAGAAGTGTAATGCCCGATTAAACTACATCATGCCGGGGAACTCTGAATTTGAAGGTCACGAAAACTCAAAAGACTTTTCAGAAGTCTGAAACTTCTGATTTTTGTCTTATATGAAACGTGAGGCACCAGATATAGGTGGCAATCAGAAAACGATGAAGAGAAACAAGCCTTAGGGTATGCTGTCAAATCGTCGCTTGCTATGAAGGCATCGATGCGCTTATATAATTCTCGGTACAGCCTTCTCAGTCATTGCCAATGTCAACTATTGGTAATCCATGATATATCAAATCAGCAGGGAGACGCTCGCGGCTAACATGTTTAGCATCCGCAATGAGCCAAGTTTGGGATCAAATTCTCCCCCTGGACCTAGGCTTGTCATTTCGTTAAACTTGACAAATATTTCCAAAGAAGATGGAAGATAACAATCTTCAGTACGCGTAGACTAATCCTAAAGCTCACCCTGAAGTAGGGTTTTAAAACTATCGAGCCGTGTTTCGTATTCATAGAGATCGCGACCCTGTTGGAACGGTGCCCAATGATACCGAAGGCCACAGCAATGTTATGATTGACATCAGGGCGCGCATTGATTTTCGCTTGATTTTGGAAAAAAAAGAAGAAATTTTGTTGCCCTCTGACAGTAGTTAACATGCCGAAAATAGGCAAATATGTCTTGTTGCCATACCGGAATGTAAATGGCAGATAAATAGGAGAGGAGACAAGACAAGGCTCTGATTTAGCAAAATACATGTATCATTTCTTGTTTGACCAATTTATGATGTAAGAATTTGAAAATGTAAGAATCTTGTTTTTTTGCCCCCCTTGTTGTTTTTTTTCGCCCTATCGCATTAGATTTGGAGTCTGTGGAGGAAATGCCATCCATAAAATTTACTTGCTGTGGCCTAAACTCGGTATGCATGTTTTCTCAAGGTCCCGTCGCACCCGGCTTTATCATAGCAAAGAAGCGAAATAATCGGATTTCAAAACCAATTTTGCGCAGGGTACGAGAGCTTTCATTTCCTTGTAAGTCACGACAGTCAACATTGAACCGATAGGGGCAGGATTTCAATGAGTAGTTCAGGGCTTGATGTCGTCGTGTTCTTTTCCTGTGGGATATTTGTGGGTGATTTAGAAGGTGAGAGGTGGGAATTCAAACGTTTGCTGAAATGTCGACGTTCTGTAGTCACGGTACAGTGCTGACTAATGAATACAAGCTAGCGCAGTTCTCAGTATAAAGTAGTAAAGTAGATGGGATTCATTCCTCAGGCTAGCCGACATCTATCACATCTCAGTCGTCCCTCAGTAAGACATCTGGAGCCGCGCAGTTCCCGTTTAGAACTTTTATTAAGCCAGCTGTCACGACCGGTTTCGCCCACTGTGGGCTTCTTGAAGTGTACACAGGCTAAATAACACAATGAATTTACAGAGAAATGTTTCTTTCCTTCCTCCTGACATCACCTTGTCTCGTCAGATTTCGAAATTCGAACCTTTACTGAAATTTCAAAATTTTATCGTTACAGTACAATGCTGACTAATGAAACAAGTTTAAGGGCAATTCTCACAGTTTAAGATTAAATATGTAATATTGGACGGTAAGGCAGATTTAAGGATCAGACGTTTGTGAAATATTTATGACCATGTAATTTCAAAACGATAACAAATATGATACAAATATTATTAAAAAGTTACACCTACACAGTTTATTTTGTATAATATTTCAAGTTCCACACGCCAACGTGGTCGGAACCTAAGCCTTCTCTACAATAAGCTATTTTCTTGTTTCGGTAAGATAATAAAGGTATATGAATCATAAGTCATATTGCGAATTCCCGAGGATTTAAAGATTATGTTTCTGTCTCGCCAAAATTTGAAAATTGTCCAGATGAATTAGGCCATGTAAGTTTGATAAGCATATTATATTAGTCTTTTTTTATTACACAAAGGACAGTGTTGCGTGCGTGGGCAATGAAAACTTTATTGTACAACAATTGTGCACTGCACAAAGTATGGCAGTACATATTAACTAAACTTTCATAAGGCTAACCTAACTAATAATACACGAGTGGGTGGCTAGTACGGGATAGGTATGAACTTGTACAATCATCGTATTGGAGGGATTTCTAATATGAACTCTACGGTGACCAAACTCCCCTGGCCAATTATTGGATTATTCTCCCTATTTGACTAAATTGTACAGTTGTTGAAACCACTGTTATTTATCAGTCTGGTGGTTATTAGATTTTCAGGCGATGCAATTTTGAAATTCAGCGACGTCGACCGTCTGGCCTACAAATGCGGGCTATGGAGCCGGGCCAAGTGAGATCAAGTGACAAGGGACACGAGTACTACTAGTATCTATCTAAATTGGACAATAATGTTTATCTTCTTAAGCTGTTGTGGAACTAACGTGTCCGGTGTGTGGTGTCACGTTTTATGCAAATAGACGTGGGCGTAAACGTTTTCAAATAGACAGGTTAATGCAGAAATCTGCAAGCAGATCTTTTGATGGCTGCAAAGACAGTATATCAAATTTTCCAGACAGTATAGCCATATGCATATTTGTCAGACAGTTACCAGTTGCATTGGTAGTGTAAAAAAAGATTCCAGTACAAGAAGAAATCCAGTTGAAAACACCTAAAAACATAGCCTGGTTACCAAACCTATTATAGCTCCCGAGTCCTAAATGCTCTGCTGAGAGGAAGTAGGACTCGGGAGCTATAATAGGTTTGGTAACCAGGCTAGGCTACTAAAAACACGCAAAAAAGCTGAAGCCTGAATCTCTGCTCGGAGAGTAACTTGATGCAAATCATTGCTTTTTTTCGCGTGTTTTCTAGACATTTTATATTACCATTCTGCCCATGATTCTCCCTTCAATTCCAAATCCCCTCCCGATTGTTTTTGGTCGTTCCTAAGGCCATGACATGTTGATTTGATTATATGGATGACATCCGCGCGCGCATGAATTTTTGGCCGTTTCCAAAAAAAAAAAGTTTTTCAACCATACTGTAAATCGTACAAAAAAGTTGCAAAATGAGCGAAAATATACCGTAAGTTACAAAAAATAAGTAAAAACTATACCAATGTCGTAGAATGCCAAAATCAAACGAAAAAAGACGAAATTGTAAGGAAATGAACTTGAAGATTAGATTATTCGCCAAACCATATTTTGTCCCATTTGTTCAACCCTCATGACCACGTAGATTTCATAATGAAAACAACTTTTTTATTTTGCAAAACTTTTTTTTATTCGCACGCTCGCATCAGTTTTGGGGCTCCCGGAGGATGTCATCCATATAATATAATCAAATCAACATGGCCTAATGACACGTTATCCCACTGGTGCGGTACTGACGCTCTGGACGGAACTACTTGTCCAGGGGTCGAGGTCAGGTGATTATGTTCCCGGCTTGGCTTCACAACTGGGCCAAACACGTGTAATTTAGCACATGTCAGGCTAAAGGTCAGACCCGGGATAAGTACTGAGATTATACAAGCACAATCACACAATTTAGAGTAGACATCAGCGATCGACCAATTAATTACTCACTGTTGCTATGGTTATGCTATTTGTCGGTGGGAATGCAACTGCTCTTTTGACTTTCTGATGATCTCCGATGTTTATGATAACAAGCACAATACAATATTGTCATGTCACTGTTTATGCCCGATGATGACAAATACACGTGTTTTTCCAAAGCATAGAGAGACAACATAAATATCATGAACAAACAATCCTGATATGATGACAAAGGTAGATAATTTTTAAAAGTACATTTGTATAATAAATATTCAAGATTTTATTTTTATTTTATTTTCCGTCATTTTTATACAGGGTAACCCAATTCAGTGATGGCACTGCTTTTCAACGGGGCCCTGTATTACACAGCACAATACAACAATCACATACAAATAATAACATTAGCATACAAAAATTATACAATAAATAATTATAATGGCAATGATGGAGTTAATTACATAGCACTATCTCTCTGGACTTAAATTTCGACTGGATCTATCTTACAATAGGGAGAGCATTTGTCAGTTGCGTTTTTTTTTAATTCCAACATGTAATCACCAGACGTGGTGACGACACACTCAAGTTTTTTCAACTTATATTAATGCCGCCACCAACACAGGGGACAAATACATGACAGGACAATACTCATTTACACCTGAGCTAAGTGAGGAAAGTCGTGTTAAGTGCCTTTCCCATGGGCACAAGATCGGTGGCATGGCAGGACTCGAACCCGGGACTCTTGGTTCCGAGTCGCGCACTCTGACGCTAGGCCACACGACCCCACAGCTAGTTGCGTTTGGCTGCCATCACTACGTTACGCAAGTGTATGCAGAGCTGTGAGTTACGCAAGTGTTACACAAGAGTCAGTTCTACTGAAACAGGCAAACGGATCGGTCAAGAAATAGGTAAGTCTCCTCTATGCCTGAATAGTGAAAGAAAATCTACGCTTTGTACCATGTCGTTTATGTGGTTTGCATGCATGAAATTATGTGTTCAAACCAGCTGCACAAGATATCCATATGACCTAGTTTACACAAATATACAGAAGCAGCCGTTTTTGTCTCGTCGACGTCACATTAGACACTGTGCACGATACTTGCAATGCCCTGTGTGTTGTTTGAAATCTTTCCGAGCTTTCTCCGCGTTTATGCAGTTGTCTGGAAGTAAAATAGTACGTAGAAACACAGAAATGTTTGATTCGGTGCGTTCCTGGAGGGGCCAGCGGGTCAGAGGTCACAAGTAGTACACGGCGCGGCAGATAAATCCTCATGCTCAGGTGGTGCGGGTTAATTCTTTGTGTAGTCATTGATGATGATATCTATGACAAAATTAAGTATTTTTGATACTAGTAGTTCTCATCATTTATTCAGATATTTGACCCCCTTTCTTTCAGAAAACGCTTCATGATGGCGGGATTGTTCAAGACAATATTCGGCAAGCTGGACTGCCCCAACTACAAAGTCGTCACGTCTACAGCTGTACGTAAGAAATTAACCAAAATGGTGTGATATTTTCTGTCCTCCTTTTGTCTCCCTACCGCGTTTTCATGTTTAATTCTTGGAAGACATACTTAGTCATAGTCTATCACGTTTTGTTAAGGATAAACAAATTGTTAATATTTGACAAGTACAACCCAGTTGTAGTGTGGCATTCATGGCGATTGAGAGCATGGGCAAATGAGACATTGACTGATTGACTATAGAAAAAACAGTCAAAAATATCCCTGTTTTGTCCCACTCAGGATTACGAAGAGCGCCTGTATGAGGGAGCCAGATGGACCAGCACGACTATCCCTGACATAGAGCACAAGGCGGCAAGGAGCACGGGCTTTAGAAGACTTTTCAATTACATTTCTGGGCATAACGAGAAAAGTGAGGGTTTTTTTTCAGTTTTTGTGAGTTTATAGAGCCTATTTCCACTACTGAGTGACCAAAAATTTGTCAGTTCATTGTGCTTCCTTGTTTGCCCTTCCTTTTCCTGTTACTAGCAAGAATTTACAAATTTTGTTTGTCATTTCAGAGGTGAAGATCCCGATGACAGTACCAGTGCTCACGAAGGTAGAACCAGGAGACGGGCCGTTCTGTAAAACTGACTTTACCGTGTCGTTCTTCGCGCCGTACGCTGACCAGGCCGAGGGTACGCCCCAGCCCTCTGACCCAGATGTTTTTAACAGCTCACTGCCTGAAATGACAGCTTATGTTAGGTACGGGCCGTGTTACTTTGCTTTTAGTGCATTCCTATGCATTGCCAACGACTTGATTTATTGTATTTTAATCAGTACAAAATTTATAGTACTTGTAATTTCTTCGGGGTACAGGTTGTTTGGTGCCTGGGTTGTGTGTCTGTCCAAGTAGCGACGGTTGCGTGGGAGTTTTAAATGATTGTGACAGTTGTGTCAATGTGACAGTTGTGATTGTGAAGCCGGGAAGTGACCCAGTACGCGCGGGGCGGGAGTAAGTAAGTGGGTATTATGTGGAGGAATTCAGGACGTGGTGTAATACCGGTACCTGATACATACAACAACCTCCACAGCTCTGATGCATTCATGAAAACCCTGAAATCTCCTTTCTTTAGTTATCCACAAGACTCACTCAATTTTTATTATATTCCCAGGTATTTCGGTGGGTTTGCTAGCGATGAAGACTTCACGAAGCAAGCGGAGACCCTGGCGAAAAGCCTCGACAGCGCTGGGAAGAACTATCACAAAGACCACTACTACACAGCCGGCTACAACAGCCCTTTCAAACCGATAAACAGGCACAACGAAGTTTGGTTCATCAAGTCAGATTGAGGAGATTGTACTAGTGTAACTTTATGTCTTCCACCGACGTCGTAGTCACATGCATCGTAGGTCGTCGTACGATTTTGATGCCATGCCCGAATTTTAAATCAGACTGGCAGAACCATTTACCAGTAGCCGGCAATAATTTTTTGCAGTTATTTATGGAGCAAAGCAGCTGAATTTTTACGGGACATATGCACGTCTATCTCAACTTAGAAAGCCCTCAGATTTTCCATTCTATGTGACCGGACCGTAACTGTGCGAATGTTCAGTACTAGTACTAGTATCTGAGGAAACTTAAATTTCTTCCCTCCTTATTTGTAAATAAACACATTCCTTAATGAGGGTACGTAGTAATTAGTTATTATAATCAATCATTTATACCTTCATGCCAAATTTCATGTTATTTGCCCCCCAAACAATGAAGAAATTTAATACATTTAACGAAATGCCCTGGGGAGGAGGAGGAGGAGAAGATGAAGAAACACCAGAGAACGCAATACGTTTCATAATAAATAACCCATTGTGATAAGGCGGCAGACATTGTAAGTACATTTGCATCCCGGCCATAAATATTAAAGAATGGGGCTAATTACATATCTCTCTGGACGCTTGACTCAATTCTCTGCCATCTAGTCCAATAAAGCTAGACCTAAATGTTCAGGTCTAGATTTGTAGTACTATTTAGATTTCGCTTATGTTTATCTTATCCGATTTACGTCACAGAAGAATTGGGGGAGAGAAATTTAGTAACAAATGTTTGTCAGCTACGTTTGGCTGCTGTCACTACGTCACGCAAGGTGTATGCAGAGCTCCAAGTTACGTAAGTGTTATACAAGAGTCACTTCTACTGAAACAGGCAAACGGATCGGTCAAGAAATAGGTAAGTCTCTTCAGAGTGCATAATAGCAAGGACGTTATTGTTGAAGCTCCTTGATAATAGTAAAAGGAAATATAAGCTTCATACCGTGTTGTTTACGTGGTTTTAGTCTGCACAGATGTGTTTTCAAACAAGCTGCACAAGATACATTGTACACCTAAATGTACACGCATGACCTACTTTACACAAATATACGAATCAGCCGTTTTTGTCTCTTCAACATTACAGTAGACACTGTGCACGATAGTTGCAATGTCTTATATATAATATGTGTTGCTTGGACTATCTCCGAGCTTTCTCTGTATTTATTTAGTAGTAAAATTTGGAGCACAGAAATGTTAGATTCGTTGCGTTCCTCGCTGGGTCAGCAGGTCGGTCAGAGGTCACAAGTAGTACACGCTGCGCTAGATAAATCTGTATACTCAGGTGGGGCGGGTTAATTCGTTAGAACATGGAGTTAATATTAACCTCTTTGGTCAGAATAATGAGTGCGTATGTAATGGTTTATGTGATCACTGATCATGTCTGCAAAGAAGTTAAGTGTTTATACAGATATCCCCCCCCCCTTCCTTCACTGAAAACGCCTCACGATGTCGGGATTGTTCAAGACAATATTCGGCAAGCTGGACTGCCCCAACTACAAAGTCGTCACATCTACAGCTGTACGTAAGAAATTCACCAGAATGATGTGATGTTTTTTGTCCCCCTTTTGTTTCCCCATTTCCCCATATGTTTGACTCTTAATCTTGACACGGAAGAAATATTTCCTACCAGTCACAATATTTTTAAGACTAAACAAAAAAGTTTGTAAATGAATAAAATGTATGACATTCCATAGCATTTATTATTGGGAACATAGGCACTGTAGGAGAGATTGATAAAAAGAAATTCCTGTGTTCTCCTATACTCAGGATTACGAAGAACGCCTGTACGAGGCAGCCAGGTGGACCAGTACTACTATTCCCGACATAGAGCGCCGCTCGGCGTCTAGCACAGGCTTCAGAAGACTCTTCAAGTACATCTCCGGGCATAACGAGAAAAGTGAGTTTTCGTTACGGCCTCGTCACATTCACAGGTCTTCCTACGATTGTGATGACTTAGAATTTTGAGTAAGCTGTGACAGAACCAACCGTCCGGTAAAACAGCCTTTTCCGTAACTAGACAGCTGGGGTTTGCAGGACACATGCACGACTATCCCACTGAGATGGCGATTCCCTCAGATTGTGATATCGTACGACGATCCTACGACGTATCTGACCAGGCCCTTAACGGTCGCTTGCTAGCTTGGAGGTTTAAAACGAATATAGTCGTAGAAACGTCCCCAGCATGTATGGCCTTGTAAAATGTATATACGACATGCAATGGTAACAAAACTACAATGGGACGAACGTAAATGTCTAATCATTTGTGGTTCATACATGTACCGATACTTTTTATTCATGATAACCTTCTCTCAACTTTCTATTGTTCTTTCCATAGATGTGAAGATCCCGATGACAGTGCCCGTGATTACGAAGGTAGAACCAGGAGACGGGCCGTTCTGTAAGACTGACTTCACCGTCTCTTTCTACGCGCCTTACGCCGACCAGGCTGAGGGCACGCCCAAGCCTTCCGACCCAGACGTTTTTAACAACTCACTTCCAGAAATGACTGCTTATGTTAGGTATGGGACGGGTTAATTTGTTTTAAATTGCATTTCCATACTTTTTTCAACTTAATTGCACTGTAGTCATCACAAAAGTACGAGTACAATTTGCTTTTGCACGTTGGATATGTCAAAGAATAAATGAATTTTACGCTATGCCCGAAAGTGAAATTTGTGAAATGTTGTGCCCACATTGCAAGAGGTTTTTTATCCTTAACTCTCAGTCAGTGCTAGAATAATTGATACGATGTTTTCTCCTGGTGGAATCGTTTACAGACGATTGTGGTCTTAAAATTAGTCTTTTCTATCTTATTCCCAGGACTTTCAGTGGGTACGCTAAAGACGAAGACTGGACCAAGCAAGCCGAGACCCTTGCGAAAAGCCTGGATGACGCTGGGCTGAAGTATCACAAAGACCACTACTACACAGCCGGCTACAACAGCCCTTTCAAACCGATAAACAGGCACAACGAAGTCTGGTTCATCAAGTCAGATTAAGGAGATTTTTTAATAATACCCAGCTGTTTTACCAGTAACTTGGTGTCTTTCACACATGCGTCGCACGTCGTCGTGCGATTTTGATGCCTTCCCGGACTTTAAATCAGACTGTAACAGATCCTTTTACCAAAAACAACTTCCGGTAATCATATTTTGCAGCCTTTCACGTAAGAAGGCAGCGTGATTTGGCAGGACACATGTACAACGACGTTAAGAATGCCCTCAGTTTTCCACCGTACGACACTAGCACAATGTATGTGACCAGTAGTTCGGGCCAAAACCAAGCATACGCACAAGGAATATTCAGTATCTGAGGGGCGTTTGTTACTTCTTCCCTCCCTAGCTGTAAATAACCCATTCATGTAACAAATAGATGTCTGTAATAATTGATAATAATTGGATATTTGGGGTCTTTAAAGATGGAACCATAAACAGTAATAAACTTTGGCTTATATGTGGGTAAAATGTGAGATTTATGGCAAAGATAGCATAGATAAGCAATATACTTGTATTTAACCTCCTTGATTTAACGTTACATATGTTTTGGACGGAATTCAAACGTTGTTACAGTATTATTTCCAAATTCTCTCACTTAATGTGCAGATTTAATGTTAGTACGAAGAATGAAACATTCCAGATCTAATGATGACGAAAGAACATGTAATAAAAGGAAATCATATGTGATGTCATGCAAAAATAAGTAAAACATGTTACATGTATAATTATATGTCAACTATTATTAATATTATTAATTAGGATAACACGTTGATAGTAGGGAATAGAAATACTTGTAATATGACAATAAGATAAGTTAGATATTAGTTATTTTAGAAATAGATCCATTTTTTTTTTTTTTAAACATACCAATATTGTCGTAAAGGTAGGGACAAAGTACTACCAGTATTTACAATCCTAATCTCATGTCAGTGAACATCGGATTTTGGAACATACATGGGTTAGGGAAGAAACTTGAGGACAATAGTGTTAGGAATAAATTAGATAGTTTAGACTTCTTCTCTCTAATTGAAACTTGGTGTACAGAAGCTTCGGAAGTTGACATCTCAAATTTTCAACATTTCTCTTCAATAAGACCCAAACATAGAAGAGCTCGACGAAATTCCGGAGGAATATTATTCTATTTCAAAAGCAAACTGGCAAGGTTTGTCAAACGAGAAAATGGTACTTCCGAATGTCCAGACTTACTATGGGTTAGAATTTCAAAAGATCTGTTTGGTTTGCCAAAAGACATATTTATCTGTAGTGTTTACATAAGCCCAGTGTACTCCGCCATACATAAAAGAACAGATGATAGTATTTTTGACATCTTAGAGCGAGATATAGTACACTTTTCCTCCAGAGGCTACGTCATCCTGGGAGGAGATTTTAACTGCAGACTAGGCTCCTTATTAGACTTTGCTAATGAAGACCACATTGACACAGAGTTTGATCTAAATGTAGATGCAATTTCTCATGTAAATATCCCACGAAACTTTGCCGATAAAAGCCATCCAAATGCCTTTGGTAAAATCCTAAGCGACCTTTGTATCCAATCTGACCTCCGCATTCTTAACGGTCGAATTCTAGGTGATCTGAACGGCAAATACACGTGTTACCAACCGAAAGGCTGTAGTACAGTTGACTACGCCATCACTAACAGTTCCCTTCTCCACATGATCAATACTTTCAAAGTTCACACCCTGACCGATGTATCTGACCACTGTATGATTTCTCTGAATATCAGCGCGGACACCTGGTCAGTTAAAAACACAACATCACAAAAAAGTAAACTACAGCATATACCGAAACGGTTCATCTGGGGTCCAGACTCCAGAGAAAAATTCCTTAAAGCTTTAAACAGTTCACCTATCTCTAAGAAGATAGAGAATTTTTTATCCGACAACCATGAAACCAATTTAAACATCGATAATAACGTTCAAAACATTCAAGACATATTAGACTCGGCTGCGAAAGCATCGCTACAAATGAAATGTACTAAAAGGACAAGTAGGCCAAAAGCGAACAAGAAATGGTTCGATAAAAGTTGCTACGACTTCAGGAATGAACTAAAAAACTTGAGATACCTTCTAATACAAAACCCAAAAAATCCGTTTCTGAGAGGTAGCTATTTTAAAAAGAAAAAGGAGTATAATAAACTTATCCGAATGCGCAAAAGAGAACATGAAAATAGTTGTCTAGAACAATTAGCAAATCTGCAAGAAAACAACCCCACTGCGTTCTGGAACTTACTTAAAAAACTAAAAAAAGACAATACCACACCCCAAGAAGATATTCCAAGTGACACATGGGTGGAACATTTTAAAGCCCTCCATGATAAATCCAGACAACAACGTCAAGCCTTCGACCTTGCCTTTGAAAAAGATATATTATGCAAATTAGATACGTTGCGGAAAGCTGAGGCAAATCCGAGTCTCCTAGATGACCCAATAACGGAATTAGAAATAAATAATGTTATACACCTGTTAAAAAATAAAAAAGCAAGTGGAGAAGACATGATAACTAATGAAATGATTAAAGCAGGGAAATCAACCTTAGTGGCACCGTTAGTTAAATTATTCAATCAGATTCTGTCAGAAGGAAACTTCCCCAAAGAATGGTCGAAAAGTTATATTGTTCCCATTTTTAAATCGGGTAGAAAGGACGAAGTGAACAACTATCGTGGAATATCGATATCTAGCTGCCTGGGCAAATTATTTACATCAGTGTTAAACAGAAGAATATCGACATTCTTAGAAGAGAACAAACTCATACACA